ACAGATATAAATCAAAACTCTGAGTCATAAATGATGAATGTGATCCGTTCTTACAATTAGAAATACAGTCTATATTTGATGGTCACTTAAAAATGGAGTCAGATTAAATTCAGAGCTCAAAAAACAAATATAAATAAATTCTATTAAACAACACAATTCTTTTCAGAAGCACTAGAAAAAGGCTGACATGCATTTAACCTTCGACCAGGCTGTTAGTTTCATCATTGGGCAAATAGAAGGACTTCTACACTCATATCTCACCTAGTTCTTCACTCATTCTGAGTCTTAGATTATACATAATTTAATTTTTTTAATCCCGTAGATTTCCTTAAAACTGTTCTTAAACGTTCTACTAATGCCAGTCTTCTCTGGAGCTATTGAATTATAAAATTATGTTTTGCTGCAGTGAACAGTATTTGTAGGAGTTAATATTTATTTTTGGGTAAACAACTCATAATTTCAAATTTATATCTACATGCATACAATGTTTATGATGATATATATATATTATACTTTGTCCATTTCTTTCTTTCTTAATTGCCAACAAGGAAGCAGGAAGAAGTTAACAGAAGAATTCACAGTCACATTGCTGTGGTAAAAACCTGTTTCTTTCTGTCTCGTCTGACAACATTTGCTGCAGGTAAAAGTTCCAGATACAGAAACAAAAAAAGCATGACAGCAAACAGAAGGTAAAATAAAAATATATATAAAAAATGTATATGTATGTATATGTGTGTATATATATATTATATATATGTGTGTGTGTGTGTGTGTGTGTGTGTGTGTGCCTTAAAATAAGATAACAAATTACAAATATTTTTTTATAAACATTACACATTCAATTCTAAATCAAAATCTTATGTTTTAGGACTTTGTATTTTTTACTTGATGTAAAAAAGAAAACTGACATGTTAAAAAAACAGTAATAACTTTTTTTTCTTTTAATGTAAAAATCTTGAACTTTTACCTGCAGCAAATGTTGTCAGACGAGACAGAAGAAAAAAAACAGGTTTTTACCACAGCAATGTGAATTCTTCTGTTAACTTCTTCCTGCTTCCTTGTTGGCAACAAAGAAAGAATGAAAAGCACACAGTAAAGAAAAAATCATGCTTAATGATCAGTTTTAATAAATAAAATACAGTCAGCTCTCACCAGGTTCACGTCAGCAGGAGTTTCTCTGATTCAGCATGTAAAATCGACATCAGTGATAAACAGCAAATTACACATGTGCTGAACTGTGGCTCCTGCTCAACTATAATCCAACATATAAACTAAACATTCATCTCAATGCTTCATTTGAGACAAAACTGACTGTTTACTTCAAACCTTATTACAAATGCCTTTTTAACATTATTATTGTATATTTGAGTTTCAAAATGGTAGAGCTTTTCCACATCACCGTCTAAAGTCAAAACACAGTCTACCATAATGTAAGTATAATAAAAAATACTATGCTGCCAATTTTTGTGTACAGTGAAGCGTGTCGACACTGGCTTTGCATATTATTAGATCAACAAGTCTGAGACTTCATTTTTAAAATACTTTTATTTTATTTATCTAATCATTACAGAAGATGAACAGTCTTAAGGGGGTTGCACACCGGATGTACCACCGCCATGACGCAGTGCCATGCATTTTTTCTGAGCATAGATTTCTATAAGGTAACACAAATACCGATGCCCAGCTATGACTCACTACGCCACACTACAGAGTGTCCACATAGTTTTGTGTTAAATAACATTTGAATGTGCACGTCCGGTGTGCGTTACTTCTAACTGTCATATGTGCGGTGATACAGCCAATGTGTAACCTCCCTTTACATTTATATGTTCACACTACTGTCATATACCTTTGATAGTGATTAAGCTTATGGATTTTTACTGGGTAATCATAAACAGCAGGTAGTTTTGAATTGTAATATAACTGTTCAGGTGATCTCAGGTGATTTTATTAGTCATACAGTTTTTTTTTTCTTACATTAAAGTTAACAGCAATTATCAGAGCAATATTCATTAGCATTGACTTCAATGTAGACAGCTTGACTGAGAATAGAAAATTACCCTATATTTAAAATATACACACACATACACATTTGTGAATATAAAAGTATAAAAGAGAAGAAAACTAAACAATGTCAGAGTATATAAATGAAGAAAGTGTCTTATAAAATAAAGAAAATTTAGGTAAAATAGACTAATCATTCTGCTGTCCCCAACACTTTATATTTTAGATGACATCTTAGTTTCTCCAACACCACTCTATTAGGTGACTCAAGTTACAATAAAGGAGATCACACTATCATCTATTCAGTTTTAATGACGAAGAGTTGTAATCTTTGCTTTTCAGAAATTCTGACAAAATAATGAAAACGTTAACCCAAAAACTGTAGATTGTAGGACAGTCCCAGACATCCCAAGTCTCCCAGAATTCCCGGGAGTCGTTGGCACAATACAGTGGAGGGACTATGATGTAATTTGAAAGCAAAAACCCCGGAAGCGAGTTAGCATTTTAGCAGTTCCGATTCCCTCGTCCCAAAGTCAATGGGTTTTTTGCATGGGGTTTCAGTAAAATCGCTTAAATAAGGTCTGTGGCTAACACCAACTCAAGATACTTTCACGCAACATAAAACACATCAGCTACAGCACACTCTTGATTTATTAAATCGGTTATACTTCTTTAAAAAGACGCTTGTTATCAAGTTGCTAAATGGGACTACAGGCAGTGTCGGAGACATTATACATTATTATGATCTGGTCTGGAGCGCAGATCGCTTGTGTTGGGCATTTGGATTTGTCTGTTATTTAGGTATTTTCATGAATAGTATTTTATAGTTTGTAGTATTATTCTAATTGGGAAATCAGATTGTGTGTAGATAATTTCTTCACATGTAAAGACTATCGAGACAGATTATTTTGTTGATCTTTTATTCTAATTAAACAATATTATGGGGATACAGCTAACTAGTGCAGCCTGTCTCTTTCCTGCTTTCTGTAATGCAAACGTGTAAATAAATGTGTAAAATACATGCATGTTAACTGCCATTTGAAAGTGATCAAGTGATTTTTCATCTGTTTTTTTCTTTATCTGAACACATTTAACTCTGTCATAACTGCTGTGTACACTCCTCCATGAAATGTGTAGCATATGTGACTGTATGAGCTGCTTTTCACTGTACTTTGTGACATAAAAAGTATTGAATGTGATCCATGATGGAATTTTCAGGCATTTGATAGACTTGTTCCTCACGCCTCATTTCTGTCGTCTGTTAGGGTAAATGGGCTGTGTGCACGCGAGTGATACACTTATTTAAATATGTCTGATGATAATACTATGCAGGCACATTTACACTTACAGTTTTAAAATGTTTACAAAAACCGTAAAGCAAAACAGATGTATTTCCCACATAAAAACTATCCAAAAGGCACATAGGTCTATGCGTTTTTTGCGTATTTATTTGTTTATAATTTATACCGTGCATTATAATATGATAAACTGAGAGAATAAATCTTTGTCATGGACGTTATTTCTAAAAATAAGCTTGATAAGTCGTCTGTAGCAGAGTGGTGCTGACGTCACAGGCGAGCGCCCCGAGGGCAGAGTAGTCCATTTATAGCCTACTGTCAGTTTTTCAATTCTTGCGTTTGCATTTACGATCCAAAAGTGCTTAAAGTTGTATTTTGGTGTGAGGGTTATCTGGCTGTAAAATTCGTGTAAGTGTAATGAACAGTGTTTGAACCCAGAGCTTATTATTCGCAATCTTCGAAAAGCCTATGGGAAAATCCTATAGGGACTTTATCAAGAGAACCAGTTTTATGCTAGCAGCTGACTCGCCTTCGAGGTTACATCATAGTTACTCCACTCTATAGTCTAGTGGTTAGCATGACGACATATGGTGTAGTAGCACGTCAGGGCGTCCTGAGTTCAAACCCCGGTTTGAGGACATTTCCCTATCCTCTCTCTCTATCTCTCTCTCTCCAACTTTGTTTCCTGTTCCAATACTGTCCTATCTAATGAAGGCAAAAATGACCAAAAAAAATCTAAAAAAAAAAGAATTCCCGCGACTCTTTAACATATTCATAGTGGCTCCCCGTTGACCGCAAATGTGATAAAATGTCCTGGAAATAGTGGCCAAACACCACATAGACATTGAATTAACTATTATTGGCTGAAATTCTTTAAATGCTCTTTCCTGAGTTCAATTCCTGAAAATAGCTCATCTTTTAATCTATTAAAAGCAAACAAGGATTTCTAGATTCATTTTCATGGTGGGGTTGGGGGAGAGCTGTACATAAAGCCAGTTGTCCAGAGGTAAACAAATAAAACATTACATTTGGACATCAACGTGATACTGCACAAAGTGAAAGCAAATTGACACCTAAAAGACTAAATAAAAATGATAAACATAAACCCCCAACGTGGAGCATTGTTAACATCAACAAATGAAGAAGCAGAACTTGCCTATTACAGTCTTTGGTTAAACTGAACTCACACAGATACAAGCCCTATGTGGAGCTCCTTGACAGGGACACAACCTTCCCAAATCCTTAAATTACACAAAACGGCTTATATTAAGAGAAAAAAGTTTGTTTTTAAAGTATAGCTTTTCAGTGTCGATCCCATGGTGTAAAGTTTGCAGTGCGAGAAGCTGTCTTGGACTGTAATCTGTGAAAGAGAACAGATTCAATTTGGTCTGGGATGTGAAGATTTAAGAGCCTTTGCTTCTTGAAGAATTCTTACTCACTCCTCGTATCTCAATGAGCAAAAAAAATTTACATACACAGACGTCCACTAAAATGAGATTCATAAATCAAATAAGGTCAAGTTGTTTGCATCTTCACTTCATTGCCTCTAAGATCCACCAACGGGCAAAAACACAAGAAATGGTCTTACAGCAGTTATGAAGATGGAGTGGATTAACGCACATTCTCCCATCTGTTCATGTTGAAGTTAGTACATCTGATAGTGAGTATGAAAGCCGGTGTATGTGTAGTTATTCTGTTTGCAGTGTTGATAATTGAGGCCGCTGGTCTGTTTGGTCTTCAGCTGGATCTTTAGTCAGGGTTTGATTATTTTAAAGTCTGATACTGATTTCATATATGTCTGCCCACACTTATCTTCTTGTTCTCAGATGCCATTATAATTTGAATTAAGCTGTAAAATAGCTCAAACTAAAAAAGAAACTAAGACTTGGGATGGAGCTCCTCTACTCCTCTGAGATGTTGAGTTTGGACTCTCATTGATGACTGTAATAGAAACTGACTTTTGACTGATCTGAGAAGAAACAGAAGTGTAAGTCTGATTCTTTATCTTCTCTATTACACATATTTATCCAAACTCTCAATAGCATCTCGTTTTGAGTATTTTCTCCACTCATCTGGGATCTTACTCCCTCCTGCAAATGTTGCATTGTAATCATTTTCCAGATCTTTATGGAATCTACAGACAAACCACTTCCAGTAGGGCAGTTCAGAGAGATCAGGAGTGATGCTCCACTGTGCATAAACTCCTCCTGCTCTTCTGTAATCTCTCCAGGGGAACCTTCCATCTGGTGTATTAAAATTCTGACCACTTGCCACTAAATCTGTACAAATATCAGCACAGAGATTTGGAGAGTACTTTCTTCCATTAATTCCTCTCACTCTGTGGAAAAGAGCACTGTGATCTCCATGATGGTCCTCTATGGTGTTTGTGCAGGATGCTCCACAGAACGGACACTGAACCCAACAGCACTGACAGAAGTGATCAATCAGAAGCTCATCTGGCCTGAACTTATAGTCCAGCTTTACTGGAAATGTGTCTGTGTTGAATCTGCTGCTGATGTCTGACATTACAGCAGGAAGGTCTCGTCTGATCACATCTTCCAGGAGTCTGAAATCATCAACATCATCATGTTTGACTCCACTGAGGTCTTTTTCAAAGAAGATCAGCTGATCTGAGAGCTGCTGTGTGAAACTCTTCAACCACAAACCAACATCTCCACTGTTGACTTGAACATGTTCAGTAGATTGATGTGCTGCGTTCATGATCTTCTGCTGCAGGAGTTTAATGTTCTCCTTCATCTTGGGTAAAACACTGATGCTGAACTTATCTCTGATGTAGCGACTGACTTCATCTCTGATGAATCTCTTGTAGTGACCTCTGGGATAATGAATGTAGTTCATGTAGTTGTCAAAGTCCTCCTCTTCTGCCAGTGTCTTCAGGATGTGTTTCTCCAGATTTGTTCTGTTTCTATTCAGTGATTCACAGTTTGATCTCAGTTCATCTGCTAAATCTCTGGCAGTTTTCTTGTAGACGCTCTGCTCAATGGGCTCCTTCAGTTTCTGACAGATGATCTCAGCAAAAATAGAAACTGATTTTACTCGTCTTCTCTTCAGTTCATCTTCATACCGTTGTTGAAGGAATTTTAGTTGTAAATCTTCTAAAGTCTTTTGTTGATCTTCTCTCAGGTTTCTTTCTTCTTTCAGTCTCTTCTCTAAATCCTCTATTTGTTTTTGTCTCTCTCTTTCTTTCTTTTTGATATTTTCTTCTGTTTCATATAGTTTACTTTTGAGTCTCTGAATATGTTCATCTGAATTCTGCTTTTCTTTTTTTAGTCTTTTCAATTCTTCCTCTTGTCTGTCCTTCTGTCCTTCCTCCATCACCATCATCATTTTGTCTTTCTCTTCTTCTAGTTTCTTCATCTTTTCTTCTGTTTCTCTGACTCTGTCCATCAGGATCTTCATCTGGTGTTCTTGTTTTTCTCTCTCCATCTCTCTGAATATCTTACATAAGTAGAAATTTCCTCCGTTTGCCTTCACCATGTTGTCTATCTTCTCCAGTAGATCAGACACTTGTGTTCGGTTTTCAGGCTGATTATTGTTGAACACATGGAATCTGTTTCCACAAGTTTCAATCAGTTTTCTGACCACAGATTCAGGTTTTCCCAGAAACATTTCAATGGTTTGATTCCTCAGCTCATCTCCTCTAGTGAAAAGCACCATAGTAAACATTAGGGAGTTTTGACCAAACGTCTCCTTAATAAAGTTCACAGATTTTGCCTCCTCTTCAGTGAATCTCTGTCCTATACTGAGCACGATGATGAACACATGTGGTCCAGGCAGAATCATGGAGATGCAGTGTCTGATTTCTCTCTGTATCTCCTCATTAGTGAGTTCAGTATCAAACAGTCCTGGAGTGTCGATCACAGTGATGCGTCTGCCTTTGATTTCAGATGATTCTCTCTGACTTGTCTCAGTAACAGATTCTTGTGATGCGCCTGCTTTAAATGCTTCTCTTCCTAAGATTGTGTTTCCTGTTGAACTTTTACCAACTCCAGTTTTTCCCAGAAGAATAATCCTCAGTTCATCTTCACTCTCAGCTGAACCTGTAAAAAGGAATCAACATTAGTCAGTCTTTTGAACACGATTATTAAGAAATGTCTCTTTCTTTTGTTTTTTGTTTTTTTTTGTTGTTCTTTGGTATAGACTTTTGTTAATTAGTCTGAGTGTTCTTTGCACCCCTGTGTTTTCAGGTAAGCACTTTAGTCATAGATTTTTTTTCTATCATAGATCAATTCGTTTATGTTTACCTGCTTGTCAGAGTTCTTTCACTTTTGTCTATGTTGTCTATGTTTGTCAGTATGTCAGCTGCTTTTTCAGAATGCCAGTAGCATCTATTTCATGAGACGCTTTTTATGTTTGTTTTTTAAATGTGCTGACAGCTGAATAATGTTCAACTCTTAGTTAATGCAGTTATGTTTAAATGCTCTAAAGTGCTCTGATCTTGGCATGTTTATTTGTTGCATACATACCCTTACCCTCTACCAAATCTGACACTGCAATTGTATGCTGCGTTCCGTCTACTCTGAGGGTGCTCTCACACTCATAAAAAATTGGATTGAATGATTATTATTTTTTTAGTTTAATCATTCACCTTTCGCCTCAAAACAAGAAGCATCAAGCAACAATTCCAGCAACACCAAAACAAGAACAAAACAAGCAACACAAATTGCCTCTGTCTCCAGCATGTTACAGTGTTCCCTCTGCACATACTGAGTGATGAATTGGTGGAACAATTCAGTAACACTTAATAGAAACAAAACTGTCACAATCATCAGTGGAGTGCCAATGAGCTCTGCCACTGGTTACTTTACCCATGATTCTTGCCTCTCTGACAGGGGGTGGGGGTGTTTGTGGAAGTAGTTGTTGTGGATGAAAGGTGAGTGGGGGGGGGGGGGGGGATGTTGTGGACGAAAGTTAAGTTGGTTGGGAAGTTGCAGAAAAAAGTGATGAGAGTTGCAGGTCGGGGGTGCGTGTGAGGAGGGGGATTGGTATAATGAGGTGGCGGATCTGATTTCAGTGGTGCCGTATCCGGCACAAATTAAAACCCTGCTTACAATTTAATGCTCCGGTTACTAAAGTAACCCTTTAGGGAACGGAAATGCTATGGTGGAGAATCCACCTATGGGGATTTCGTTCAGAAAGCCAATCATCTGAAAGAGTAACAGGCCAGCAAGTGACTCCTTCGCTGAGTCAGTGCTGGGGGCCTTGGAGGACTCTCTTCAGGGCTCACCTGAGCGGGGAACTTAACCGACTGAGTGAAAAACGCAAGTATCTCCCTGTTAGGGAGAATGGTGCAGCAAGCGTGTTTCAACACCTTAACTGAGTTGTCTCCTCAATTACTAAGGGTTACCTAATATTCTTGAGCAACCCAACTCGACTCACAGATTTTAAAACCTTGCAAATGTATTAGGTGTCGCCCAGCCTGCAGCTCTACAGATGTCTGTTAGAGAAGCACCATTGAATCTCTTAACCGAGTGTGATTGTGTGTATGACGCACCGCGAAGGGCTGGCCCGCACTAACCAGGCAGGCAGAGCTCTTGCTAATGGATTCATCGCTACAATTGCTGACGTACCAGCAGTGGGGCAGCACGGAGTAGGTGTGCTGATCCGGGAAGCACTGGGGTCCCGCGGAAGAGCTGGAGGAGAGATATTCTCTCTAAGATATTCTCTCTAACCCAAGATCCGAAGGGGGGGCTCGAGGAGTGGGAGAAAGAAGACCGTCCTCCCAGTGCCTGAGAACCACTGGTGAAATGCATGGAACCTGCAAGCCGGAAGGCATAGCATCCCAGACTGGCAGAGTTTGGGCTCTCACATCCAGGAAAGTGAAAAAGTGCTGTCTCTCTCTCTCTGAGGTTTGGTGGCGTTTTTTTAAGTGCCATTGGATGAAAAGCCCGGCCCCGGGGAGAGAGCAAGTTCCCTCTACTCCAGATGGCCTGTCTCAGGAGCCCTACATGGTCTGTTTTACTGGACTTAGCGGTGCCAAGGGAGCGCTGGCACTTGGCCAGAGGTGCAGGGCGATGTTTGTCACTTCTCCACTGGCTGCTCACTTCAGTTTCTGCGCGCTTCATGGTTCAATTACAAAATATGTCATCATTCTACGCTGCAGAGGATAATCACAGCCAATCACATGACTTTTCCAGGGTTGCATAAACATGATGGGCTAGCATCTGCTTGAGAGTATTTGAATGGCACAACCTAACTAGCATATGTTTGACGATTTAATGTTCACTCAAAGTTTGCATGAACATTTGATTCTGACATTAGAAAAATAACATTTAGAAATTACTTTAAATCATCAGAGGGCAGTTACATTCAGTGAACCACCTTAGTGCGAAAAGCTGCCATGTAGTTTATGTCGTGACTAGTCGACGTCAATCAAAAAGCATCAAATTGATTTTTTTTTTTTTGCAGAGAAAAATTCTGGAAATTTGTAGTAGTTCTATGACTTGCAGCAATATATATTGTGAAAAGTTAAGCTTGACTGTGTATTTAGTTTTGTACCATCAGACTAGTTTGAAAATATAGACTTATGATACATTAAAAGAAAGGTCCCACTTTATATCAAGTGGCCTTAAGTACTATGTACTTGCATCAAAATATGATTAGAATTTACTTAACATGTTCATAATGTATTTCAAAAGACTTCTGGTGCCCTTGAGGTTGATACGGGTGGGGTTCGGGACAGGTTTGGTGGTATGGGTAGGTTTAAGGGTGGGTTATGGTGTAAGGGATGATCAAGAGTGTAATTACAAATATAATAACAGAGATTGATTAGAGATAAAATTACATGCATGTATTTAAATCAAGCACAATGTAAAAACATGCATTTACACAAGTAGATTGTAACAATTTTTTTGTTTCAGTGCGAGTATATATCAGTTATGGCCACTTAATATAATTCATGCCCATTATTTTAAAACCCAATTTCATTTTCAGCTCCTACCTTGTGAGAAAAAGTGTGTCTCCAGTGAATGAAGTTTCTTCTTCATCTTTTCATATTTCATCAGTTTGATCATCTGCGCCTCCAGAAATGTCTCTGTGGAGTAAAAGCCTCCTCTGTTTTCTTCCAGCATCTTCTCAATGTTCTCCATCAATGTGGACACTTGTGTTTCAGGATTAAAGTAATGATGTCTTCCTCCAAATCTCTGAATGACAGCCTGTGTTTCTTCATTGAGTTCTGCTCTCTGATGCTCTGAATTCTGCATGATGAGGATCATGATGTGTTTGTTGATTCTGGAGCTGAAGATCTTCTGGATCTCCTCCATTTCTGCTCTGTCTTCATTATTGAGTGGAGTGTCAGGAAAAATGAGGAGGAAAGCATGAACTCCAGGATGACAGCGAGACACACAGCGGAGAGTCTGACGCATCACTTCCTCCTCTGAGAGCCCAGTGTTGAACAGAGCTGGAAGCTCCAGCACATTGATCAGACGACCATGAAGATCCACGTCTGTCCTCACACTCTCTGATCTTCTGTGTGTGTGTTGCAGGATCAGCTCTGAGATGGAGGATTTCAGAGAGCCGTCGCTCCCGCACACCAACACATTCAGCCTCTCACAGTCTGAAACTGTAGAAGAACATTAAGAACCATTCATACAGAACCAGAAACATCAGATATGATCACACTCATGTCTGTGCCCCGTTTCTGCACTGTGTGTCTTTTCTTAAGTAAATCTGGAAAACCTTTATCCACTGCAATCAAACAGAACTGATTAGCAGACGACTATTAAATATGGGACCAACTTTAGTCTACTTCAGTATATACTGTAGGCTAGGCTTGCGCGGTATTACGGTATTATGGTATACCGTGGGATCTAAAAATAGCAATGGTGTCAGTTTCAATACCGTTATACCGTCATAAAAAATTAAACAAGGAGGGAGACGTGGTAAATATGAATGAACGAGAGGTCTGCATTAGAGCTGAAGATCTTTGCCCGAACCCGGCGAGACCCGAAAAAATCCAAATCCCTGCATTAAAATCCATCCCTGCAAAGGTGAAACAAATGATGACGAAGTAGTAAAAAAAAGCTAATTTTGACGGCGGTCAAGCCAGTCACTAGCTCAGAAGGAGCGGTCATTCTAGCCGCAGGTATTTCATCGGTCGCTCATACACTGCGTATTACGGTAGAGCCCTAAACCGCAAGCTGACAGGTAAAAAGAAGAGGCCATTCGCTAAAGTGAAACTGCTGTCATGGAAAATTAAATGGATGTTCCTGACTGGTAGAAGATGAACAAACAATCCTACCAAAACTTGCAAAATCAGCCAGATCAGAACTCTGCATCTCGACCTGTAGCAGCAGGAAAGGGTGTTCAGTTCTGCTGGACGCACCATGAGAGCAAGACTGCGCTAAAGCCAGTGGATTTAATAATGTTCCTCCACAAACACACGTAGCCTAATCTTGGTGAGTAAAGGGTTTTTAAATAATAAATGAATATTAATTAAACCATATAATCATAATGTAGACAGAGTATACAGGCTAATGCAGGCATATTCTTTTAATATTCAGCTTCACGACCGCCCTAATGCCAGATTGTGAAGTGAAGTCGAAACAAGGCGAAACAAATCTTGCACAGCCTTTATCTTAATTTCGTAATTGCCAAAATACCCGTCATCATTTAGAGTTTATTTTAATTTGATTTGTTAAGCAAGATTTCTTTTTATTGGTGTGGTGGCCTATTTAATAGCTAAGTGTATGTGTCTAGACCTATATAGAGTGCTGAGATGTTACAATGTTACAGAGGACTTATTTATTTTCCAAGTGGCCTATAGTCTACGATTGTTACGAATAAATGATGTTAAAACATATAAATGACTCATTCTTGAAAATAAGGCAAAAGAGCTGTGTGCATGAGCACATTTCTATAATGTTGGGCTGTAAACGGGTTCGGGCTTTATAAAGCTGTCAATCAAAATGTACCTGTCGGTCTCGGGCCCCATCGGGTATAATTTTTATGGCCCGACATTTTATTTTTTACAGCTCTCTGCATTCGCGCTGCTATACTGCGGGAGCCGGCCAGATTTCTTGCGGTGTGGGAATAAATTTCAGAATAAATTGCAGGAACGATGTGTGTGTGTGTGTGTGTGTGTTTGTGTAAGATAGAGAGAGAGAGAGAGAGAGAGAGAGAGAGCAGTGCTGTGTGTGTGTCCGCGTGCGAATGAGAGGAGTGTCCCGCGCAGAAGAATACAAACAAGACAAACAGGTGACCGCGAACCTAAGGTTGCAAGAAAGGTATTAAGTTTCTTAATGGTTTAGGCACAAGCCAACAGTTTGGTGATGCTGTCTGAGCCTTACGTCATAATTTTTTTTTTATTATCCATTGTAATACCAGACAGCAGGGTAAAATATGGAGGAGGTTTGACGGTATCAAAATTTGGATACCACCCAAGCTTACTGTAGGCCTGTATAAATGTTTACTGTCTCTTGAAACGTATGCAACAGTGATTAAAATTATTTGTCTTTCGTTTACTTTTATCTAGGGAGTGAAAACATGATTTGATCAAATCTAAAAAATAAAAAAAAAAGATTTAAAAAAAAATTAGTTTTTAAAATTGTATAACTTAAACATGCATAATTGTCTTTTAGTGTCTTTTGTACTCTTCATACACTGAGACTTATCTGAGAAACAAATCCTGACCTTGTAATTATTGCTAATGCTGAAATCTGTTGATTAGGCTGAGGGAAAGTTTAACAGCACAGATAAAAATGACATTATAGCATGTCTAGTAGGAGATGAAACTGAGTTTTGACAGATTTATTTAGATTGATTTTAGAGGCTTTTGTGTACTGACAAATGTAAAGACTTACGTGAAGGAGGTTTTTCCCTGCTGTTCTCTCTCCTGTGAGCAGTACTGCTACTGGCAGACACTGTTTAAAACAGAAGCCTTATATTATAATCATTTTACAAAAGCAAAATAAATAGCTGTGCTATTCCACAAAGAAGCAATCAGCAGTTAAAAGCATATTGGTTAAAGCATAAGTATGAGAAGCTGAGCATATTGAAGGTATTAGGTATTAAATAAAGCATGAATGATAAAGTACAGTAGTATAAGCAGAGGGTGATGACAGAGACACTTCACTTGCAGAATAACCAGAATAAAAAAAACTTTCAGAGTGATTTAATGAATCGTTAATCTAATCTGTGTGTAATTCACCTCTGCCTTCTCTCCCGGACATGTTGATATTGTGTTGCCTATTTCGTCTTTCTTCAGTGTTCAGTGGATTATCTTTCCTGTTTGTTCATCATCCTGTAAAAGATTCATCAGTCCTGAGACTGTTCATTTCTCCAGACTGCTGTCATGTTGAGCTGCACGCCTGTTGTGAGTCAAAGAATAAACACACTGATTAAGCTTCACTGAGTCAATGAACAAACACACTGATTCAGAATCACCAAGTCAATGAACAAACACACTGATTCAGCTTAACTGAGTCAATGAACAAACACACTGATTCCGATTCACTGAATCAATGAACAAACACACTGATTCAGATTCACTGAGTCAATGAACAAACACACTGATTCAGATTCACAGAGTCAATGAACAAACACACTGATTCAGCTTCACTGAGTCAATGAACAAACACACTGATTCATATTCACCAAGTCAATGAACAAACACACTGATTCAGATTCACTGAGTCAATGAACAAACACATTGATTCAGATTCACTGAGTCAATAAACAAACACACTGATTCAGATTCAATGTGAGTCAATGAACAAACACACTGATTCAGATTCACTGAGTCAATGAACAAACACACTGATTCAGCTTCACTTTACTGTAAGTCAATGTAGTACAAACACTGATTTAGCATTACTTCACAGAGGCAATAAACAAACACACCAATTCAACTTAACAGCAGCCCTTTTGTATGGACCTATTTCTTAGAACGCAGAATTACCCGTTATGCTTTACATGTACAAGAAGGCTTCGAACTTACAGACGGCAGCTTGATGTGCATAAACACTCACACTTGGACAGCTTTGAGGCATTTTCCCCTCGTTATCAGATGGCATGTTGTGTCGTTTAAATGAAGTCTCGTCATCGCTACCGTCAACATTTTCTCTTTCTCAAATGAAATTCACCAAAATGTTTGACACACACACACACACACACACACACTTAGCCTACTGTACTGTCCCACTGACATTGATTGAAGTGTCACAAAGTGAAAATAATGTGGCGTTTTGAAATGAAAAAAAAAACCTGTGGTAAGTATAACACAACAAACACTAACTAAATGAAACATAACCGCTTCCGATTAAAATCAACATGCAAATCAGCCAGCAGAGTATCAGTAACAGACCTTTATTGGTCATTTTTGGCAATTGCATGGCTTACATACCATATTGCAGTGAAGTATTGTGTGTGTGTGTGTGTGTGTGTGTGTGTGTGTGTGTGTGTGTGTGTGTGTGTGTGTGTGTGAGAGTGTGTGTTTTCTGCATTAAAGAGTACACTATAACAACACTTGAACCACATTGAACAGAAGTTAAATGACTTTAACACATGTCTTTCTTTCAGAATTAAAGTTTTGCATCACAAAAACACGCCGTAAGCCACTGAGAAACGCTGAGAAACAGTTGAGAAACGCTCCTCTGTCTGATGACAATTCTTAACGGACGTTCTAAGCAGTCTAGCGGAAGATGCAGCAATGTAGAAAATTGTCTATAAAACTGAAGGGCTTTATCTGGTGAAAACAACTGTCCTGGAGGTGATCCTGTTTTTTACAAAGCTTTTTTAACAAAACATAAAGATTTAACACAAAACATTGTTCTGGGACATAACAGTCAAATGTTTTCACTGCTGGTCAAGGCAATACAAAGCTCCCAGATGTGCCTGTGTTATTTATCGGTTGTCATCTTGGTATAGCATACCTTGCAATGTTGCAACTGACCAATCAGAAACGAGTATTACCGACAGTAATGACATGGATGAATATAACCCAGTCAAAAAGATACATTTATTTGACCGAGAGAGATAGAAGAGCGCAAATGCGAAACTGAAAGTAATGAACACATAAGCTTTAGCCTGTTTTGGCACGTAAACTCAGCCCCCTTGTGACCAAAAAAGACACTAACAAATTAATGCAATTTCTGAATGCCATTGTAGAAATTAAGAAAAAAGTGTTTAAATTATATTCTTATATTCTTTTTTAACAATACAAAAAGAGCCACACATTCATAAAACTATTTCTTGATAAGCGATTCTTTAAGCGCAACTCACTAAAGCACATTACAGTAAGACAATAATCTAGTGCAGTGATTGACAGCAAACAAGTTCTGATAAGAGTCTGCTGGTATGTCTCAGGTAGTTTTTAAAGCAGCTCAGCTGACTGCGGAGGTACGGCTCCTCTGGTGACTGTAGTTCTTTAGACTTGAGACTGACTTGTAATTGTTCTTATCTGAGCTATTCTGCCAAATGTCTAAAATTAGCTGTTTTTTACATGTTATTAAACAGTGCTTCATCTTGATAGCAGAAAGCCTGACTTAAGTAACACTAATGCGCACTGTATAGCACACCTCAGTCAATTATTTATTCGGCCCTTTTTAAGGTTTATTTTTTGTTAAAGTTTATTTAATGCTAATGAAAGTGATCTAACACCAAAACAATTGTTAACCTTGTTTCAAACGATTAAATTCATACAAGTAGACCAACAGCTTAATATACTATTAATATAATGAAAAGCCATTAAATCTCTTTTAGACATCCAACCAGTTAAAGCATACCTTTGTGCGAATTAAAAAACCTGCGTACACGAGCGACCAGACGTGAGACTTGATCGTAGCTACCCCTAATCTCAATATTTGTGTTCAAATGACCGTATGCCCACTTTGTATGTTGATTTGATAAATGTGAGTCGATGAACAAACACACAAAACCACATGACTGAGATCTGCTTCATCAGACAGTAAAGTATACATTACGAATTATAATTAAGCAAATCTGTGCTGAACAACACGAGCTTTGACTTTCATCTGTACATAAAGAATTTAGAAAATCTCTAAGTACAAATGTAGATTGTTTTTGATGTGATTATATCCAAAATGAAAGAGAAACTCACAGATGTTGCCGCAGTTCATACAGTTAATCACATTTATCATCAATAGTTCATTTATCATGTATATTTCATTTAATAAACAAAGAAAGTATTAGTGACACTGTACCTGTGTGTCGCAGTTTCTTCGTGTTCAGAGGTTTGTTTTTGTCAGTGTGAGATCAGGAAGAGGTTTGCAGGTGGAGTCTTTCTCATAAAACTGTAAAAACCTGTTTCTGTGTTTCTGGTCTGACAACATTCACTACAGGTACAAGTTTAAGTAACACTGGGGGAAAACAACAAGACATGCAACTGCAAAAAAACCGCTGCTCACTGTAAAGATATTTACCAGCAGAGACAGATGAATTCAACTGTGTCTTTTCATTTCTATCAGTGAATGTGTTCTGTGTGCTAACAAGTCTGTAGTATGTGTTGTGCTCGCTGTCTATTTGACAGGTGTTTTCTCACCAGAATAATCTTCATCTTAAGGTCATCCGTATCAGGTCACCTGAAGTGTAGACTGAGTGCACTTTTAGCATCTGTCAGATATAAAGAAATGCTGAGTTACAATTTTGCTGAATTGTGTCAATAATATTATTTAGTGTCTGTAAATGGCGGAACTGCTCTTTGGTGGATTGCCATTGAACACTGAGTATGTTACATGGAACCCAATACTCTGATTGTAATATGATTAAGACAATACTCTGATTAAGAGTCTACGATGTAAACAAAGATTTTTGATTACCTTAATCCCACTACAGTCCTCATTAAACTAAACTGAAATCAAATGAAGACGTAGAGTATTTCTATTTTAGTCGCATTATTAAAATGCAGTACAGAGACATTTCACTACATTTTGCGACAGGCTGCACACATGGCAGTTATCAGGCATTTGAAGACAAACAAATGTGAATGGCTTTAAGCAAGAGAGCACATTTTTGGTGCAAGCGAGAAACAATGATTATGCTGAGAATTGTGGAAGAAATAGACATTATGAAGTGCCTTGACTTTGTCACAGGGGTGATAGGATGACCGAGGTGCAGATGTACAAAACCAGTAATGAGGGATGAGTTCAGTTTAAGGTGTTTATTTAAGTGCAAAGCAAAAAACTAAAATTGTGGATCCCCAGCAAAACACAAAACTTATTTATTTTCTACAAAATTATATGCATAATGTACAGAGACAATGTGTGTTCTGGCTATGCCAACAGTCAGGCCCAAACACAACAACTATCTGCACAAGGAAAAACTGCAGGAGACGCAGGAGCCGTTATCTAGAGTTTGGCTTCAACCATTTTTTAGAATACACCATATGAAAAATTATAAAGCAAAAATATATTTAAATAAACAACACATATGGTAGTAACTCGCAACATGGGAAGTTTAGTTATGAACTAATTTTAAGAGGATCAAGTGAGGATTATGAATAAATTTTGATTTACCACAGGCGGTGTTGTATTTGCTAATCGTGATCCTGCAATCATATGATTCCTAAGTTATTATAAATAACCACAGTGTTCTTTCCACATTTATCTAAAATAAACCCTCCATCCTCCCCTTCTCCTGCTTTTTTCTCATAGATTGGGCAGCATGGCGACCCAGTGATTAACACTGTTAGCCCCTCAAGCCTCCCTCTCGCTCGGTGAACTGGATGGGGCCGTGGGCTCGAGAATCCCTCAAGCTTAGGGCTCTCTCCCAGGACAGTGTGCCAAACAAGCTTATGATAACGCATCAGCTAAGTGTGAACTCATGAAATATTTATCACAAATATCTACAAAAGTGTCTGACAAATATGTTACACCAAAATAATGGTTTCCTTGATTTATCCCCCATGATGTGATTGAAAATTGTAGAACCCAGATCATTGGTAATATGGAAGCTTTAAAATGGCTGCTTTTCTACATACAGGTTTGGCAGTTTGGACGTGACTCAGAGTATTTGCTTCTTATTTTTAACCATGAAAAATAAACTATTATGTTTGCAACAAAGTCTGGTGTGATTTATTTTAAATGTTAAATAAGATAATGAAATGTTAAGCTAACTCAAACTACGTAAGGAATGAAAAATAGACAAACAACAAAAATTATTCTGCAGAAATAAATGGAGCATTTCTAATCACTCAAAACCAGAGGTGTGGACTCGAGTCATGTGACTTGGACTCGAGTCAGACTCGAGTCATGAATTTGATGACTTTAGACTCGACTTGACAAAATATAAAAAGACTTGCAACTCGACTTGGACTTGAACATAAATGACTCGGACTTTGACTAGGACTTGCCCCTATTGACTTGTAAAGACTTGCTGCTTCCCATGAAAAGCCCAACGATAAAAAAGTATGTTGACATAGACCGCTCTCTCTCTCTCTCCGTTTATGTGTGCGTGTGTGTGACAGCATGCGCGCGCGCGTGTGTGTGTGAGCATGCGCGCTTTCGGCATGACGTCCAATCAAAGCACGGTAGATTGTTTTGATTCGACAGTATCCAACGTGACTACTATGAGGCGCGGGAGTGGACAAAAGTCAAGCGAACGCAGAGAGAATTTGAATTTGAACTTGAGATCGAGCCAATACTCGCGTGCCAATACTCGCTCTCTCTCTCTCTCTCTCACATACAACATACACCTCTCTCTCTCTCTCTCTCTCTCTCTCTCTCTCTCTCTCTCTCTCGTGCATTCAGTCTCTTTGCGTTCGCTTGACTTTTGTTTACGATGGCGTCTCATACCTTTAGTGATTTTGCTCTCACGGGATCCTGTTAAACTGACCCTTCGCTAAGCCACGCCCAAAAACCGCCACCCACCAATCGCGGCTTACCAATCGTAGCTACGGGCAGAGGCTCTGTCAAGCTTTCGAGCGAGGGAAACAAGCCAAATCGTTGCGCAATTGGATTGTGAAAATCTGACACCTGCTATCCTAAAAGTTTGGACTGGGTGGTGGGATTTTTTCCCTTTTCAAAACCAAAGCCCAAGAGGAGAAATGCCAGCGTGGATCAAGCTGTGTGAGGGGCGGTAAAGGAGTTAACAGCTAAGTTGGTTTTGTTTTCGATATTCACATTCAGTGATAGGTGGCAATAACTCACACTCCTCTTATCCTAAACAGATCTAAACTGTGTTTCTTATAAAAAAAAAAACCAAAAAAAAAAACAAAGCAGGTTATGCTTCCCAGCGGTCTTTTTCTTTTTTTTTCCCACTCGATATTATGAGCCAGGGCTCGACAATAAGGACTGCCCGATGGCCCGGGGCCAGCGTGCGAGACAGTCGGGCCAGTGTACAAAATGTTTCTGGCTCGATCGGGCCAGCTGCTGCCTTTTTGCCAGCCAGATCGAGCCAGAGCTGCGTGCTGCGACTGTCTGTCAATTGTGTGCAAATACAATCTTACGGTGCTTTCACACATAGACGTTTGTTTCGGAATCTGTCTCGTTTCACCCGTTAGTGCGTTTTTTTTGGCATATATCCAGCAGTTGCGCTCGCATCCGCGCCAAATCAATCAGTCCAAGATCGCCTGAATGAGACGCGGTCTCTGTCCTATTGAGCGTATCGATTGTAGCGAGAAAACAAAACAATGCAACGAACTAACGACCCAGGCTATATCACAGTGTACTATGATCGTGTAATAGCCATATATACGGCTATATGAAGAGAGAATGATGAGCTGGGCCAGATGTCATTCTTACCGGTAAATGCGAAAGTGAAAGCATGCTGAAATATTACCGAGAGCTGTTTATCCAGCCTGATCTCGGTTTATCCGTCAGGAAAATTGACCGAAATTACTATCTGTTAATTTTTCCATATTTTAATCGTATAAAATGTTGTATTAGGCCTGTTGTTTTGTTTATTTCCGCACTGACAGCTCGAAAGAAAGATTTACATTGATCTGATGCAGTCTCGGTTCATCTGCTATGTCTCTCTATAATTTAAGCCTAAAATACAGAATTATAGTCAACGTTTCTTTAATAGATTGATTAATTCAATTGATCGATTTCTACAAAACCTGACAATTGAAATGAGGCTCTGTATATATGAGAAAGTCTGACCTCGATTTGTATTTGGTGACGATGTCTGTGGGTTGTTAAAATTGAAGTGCACATTTTCACTTATAAAATATTCTATACACAATGCACAAATGTTTGGGGTCAGTGTGATTAAATATGTTAAAACAAGCTTCTTCTTCTCACCAAGGCTGCAATTATTTCATCATAAATACAAATTGTGAAATGTTGCACTATAAAATAACTGTTCAAAAGTAGTTTATCATTTAATTTATTCATTTATTCCAGTGATTTTAAAGATGAGATTTCAGCTTCAGTACTCCAGTCACATGATCCTTCAGAAATCACTAATATTAATTATTATTATATTTATTAATGGTAAAAGTTATAAAATCAATAATGTCTGGAGTAATTATTTTATTTGAAACTAAATACAATAACAAAGCAGTTATTTAAAATTTTAATAAATATTTAACAATTACACCTTTTTTACATTTATAAATATAGCCTTGATGAACTGAATAGTTTTCCTTAAACATTTTAAAAATTACCGTAAATATATATACAGATTTATTAGCCCCCTTTTGTTTTTTGTTTTTTCTTTTTAAAATATTTCCTAAATGATGTTTAACAAAGCAAAGAAATGTTGATATTTTGTCTGATAATATTTTTTCCTCTGAACAAAATCTTATTTGTTTTATTTTGGCTAGAATAAAAACATTTTTTAAACCATTTTAAGGTAAAATTTATTAGCCTCTTAAGCTAATTGTTTTTCAGACTGTCTACAGAACAAACCATCATTATACAATAACTTGCCTAATTACCCTAACCTGCCTAGTTAACCTAATTACCCTAGTTAAGCCTTTAAATGTCACTTTAAGCTGTATAGAAGTGTCTTGAAGAATATCTAGTCTAATATTATTTACAGTCATCATGACAAAGATAAAATAAATCAGTTATTAGAGATGAGTTATTAAAACTATTATGTTTAGAAATGTGCTGAAAAAATCTGTTCTCTGTTAAATAGAAATTGGGGAAAAAAATAAACAGGGGTGCTAATAATTTAGGGGAACTAATAATTCTGAAATCAACTGTGTGTGTGTGTGTGTGTATACACACACACACACGCACATTCAAATAGCGATTAACTTCTTTTTTTTTTTTTTGGTGGGGCCAGTGAAAATTTGGGCAGGGCAAGTAAAAATCAGAACCACTGGCCCGATCGGGCGAGTAGAAAAAATCCTTAGCG